AAAAAAAAAGTAAACTGTGCCATTTCTTTAAGTACTTTCTAAAATGTTTTTAGATCTCAAAGACGGAATTAGATTGGTTCCTCCAAGATTTGGAAAAAGAAATTAAAAAATGGCAACAAGAGAAAAAAGAAATCCAAGAAAGATTAAAAGCACTGAAGAAGAAAATTAAAAAGGTTTTAAGTGCCAGTGAAATGTAAGTAACAATTGAAAGGCAATAATTTTTATTGGGTTTTTTTTGTTATTTTCACATTTTCAATATTTAATTTCAAACTATGTCAAGTAAAAATTTATAGATACAGTGTCACAGTGTTTTAATCTCATTTTAAAAAGCATCCATTGAGTAATTTTTCTAAACCTAGCATGTTTTCAGATAAATTATATAAAGGTGGGGGTAGCATGGGACTGAGAATCAACAAAAAACTGATTTCCTTCTAGTATGAACACTACCCCTTACTATAAACATTACCTTAGACCCTCTTTTTCCTAACTGGTAAAATGAGAGAGATAGTGTAATCTAAGGTTCTTTCCAGCACTAAGATTCTGTGGTGATTATTTTACTTATAATTACTCCATCCTTTAAATTATTAAAATTTGATATTATAGTGTGAAAGATTTCGTAGTACACTCAGATCCTGGGCATAGTTGTCAGGTGGACCAAGTGTGTGTTAAAACCTTGTATGATCCATTCCTAACCTCCCTTTGTTCCAAATAATGATATGTTGTGTGATTCCTCAGCTTGTTATCTACTACTGTGAAACAAAACACCCAAAACTCAGTAACTTAACAGCCATTTTATTTGCTCATGATTTTGCAGTCAGGGCTGAGTTCAGCTGGACCGCTCTTCTGCAGGTCTTGCCAGTAGCCCCTCGTGTGGTTGCTTTTAGCTGGGACTGGGCTCAGGCGGGATGCTGGGATGGCTCTGCCTCTCTCTTCATGTAGTTTCAGAGTTTCTCCTTTGCCATCTAGCCTCTCCATGTCACTTTTATCTTCATTGTCTTTCCATGTGATCTCTAGCATGGCTGCCATACCCAAGGGCACCAAAGTGGAAGCTGCCAGGCCTTCTGAAGGTTCAGGCCCCAAACTGTCACAGCATCACTTCTGCTACATTCTGTTGCTTAAAGCGAGTCGTAGGCCTAGCCCAGATTTTCAAGGGCATGAATAAGGGGAGGGATGTTCATTGGGGGCCATGCTACAAGCTCACCTTTCAAGGGTGTTTATGTTTTTTCCATGTTCCATGCCATATGATCAGATGACTTTCATTACAAGTCTTGCTGGCATCACATTTAAGCAGTCCTCAGAAGAAGGAAATAGACAACACTGCCTTAGTATTTTCACTCCCTATGTCATGTCATTTTGATTATGTTCAAGGTAGTTTCATTGGTAGAGCACTTTTAAGAAAATGATAATGTCTGTAAAGCTCTTTGCCGCATAATTATGTGAACATGTCCGTTTTTAATCCTTAGTTATTTAAAATGTTGAAATATTTACATTTGATTTATATTTTTTATATATTCAGTTTAGACATACTATCAAACTAGACAAGATAAATGAGGCTATTAATGATAAGAAAAACTTTTTTCTGTGCTAGCATTTCTGCTGAGGAATCAACTTTTTTTTATTATTTTTTTACCCTATTAAATATATTTCTTTGCCTTTTCTGTCACGATTTAAAGATAAACCATGGGCTTCTTTAGGCTTTTTGCACTTTTCCAAATAAATGCTTTAAAGCTAAATTTTTAAATTTAGATTTTTAAGCAAAATCTTAAA